CAAGCTCCACCTCCCGGGTTCACACCATTCTCCTGCCTCAGCCTCCCGAGTAGCTGGGACTACAGGCGCCCGCCACCACGCCCCGCTAATTTTTTTTTTAATGTATTTTTAGTAGAGACGGGGTTTCACCATGTTAGCCAGGATGGTCTGGATCTCCTGACCTCGTGATCCACCCACCTTGGCCTCCCAAAGTACTGGAATTACAGGCGTGAGCCACCGCGCCCGGCCGGTTCCTTAACTTTTAAATAAACAGAAAAACAAAACTCCCATGCACTAAGGTCGTTTTCACAGTATTATCACTAAACATTTCATTATTTAAATGTACCCTCAGCATTAATCTGAGGTTCAAACCGCTCCATTGTGACGGCAGACAAATCCTCGGGTTCGAGACTCCATACGCCGACTCCTTCTGCAGCCCCTGCCGCCATAGCAGCACCTAGTGCAGTGGTTTCGGGCATCGAGGGCTTCACTGAGGGGAGAGAGTTCCATCAACATCTTTGTGGTTACATATGCCCAAAGAACTAGTTTTTCCCAAGAAACATTACTCCAGGAGTTTAAAGGAATGAAGACTTACTAACCTACTGGAATATACAGAATGTCTGCTTGTAGCTGCATAAGAATTTTGTTGCTGGTCATTCCTCCATCTACCTGCAAATGACTGAGTGGAATTCCACAGTCTCGATTCATGGCATCCAAAATCTTAAATAAACCAGTGCAATTAATGTTATAAATCTATTTCATAGTAACATCTCTGAAAATGGCAATCCTCCACTCAACTCTCAAGGCTTCCAAGAGCCTATGGAATAAATTGAGACTTCTTATTCTAGTCTTCTAAGCCCTCTTTGATCTGCTCACAGCCAACCTTTTCTCTCACTACACCTCTGCATTCACCTTGATATTCAGCTAAGCTATACAACTCTGTTTGGTACCCTGTTTTTCTACCTTGATGCCTATGTTTGTGCTATTTCCTTTGCCTAATGTGTGCCACTCAGCCTCCCCACAACCATAAAATTCTCAGTGCCTGACAGGGAACAGGAACTTAGAAGGCAATGACAGCTGGAAAAAGGGAAAAAAAACCCTGCTTATATTTAGATTAGTATTTAGGTAGCCGTAATATTTGATTAACTACATTTTCAGTACTGAATAAAGCTCAGGTGTTACCATATAACTTAAGAGTGATAAAAGTGAACTAAGTACAAGAAAACAGGCCCGTATTTGTTACCTCTCGAGTTTGGAAACAAACAGCTTCTAATGCAGCAAAAGCAATATGGCATTTATTGGTGAACTGAGTGAGTCCACAGATTATCCTAAAAATACGCACAAAGATTTTCAGATTAGAATGGTATAAACCAATCAATTTGAAATATCTCAAATATGAAAAGGTCAAATTTGATAGATAGAAGTGTCCAGGAAGAGAAAACTGGATATAATCATTAGGTAACTCAGAAAGTCCTTATATTTCACAATTCTGCATTCATACATGAAAAAGTTTATGATGCATTTGAAGAGATGATGGCATCGTAAAACTGAACCAATATTCATTATGATGATGTCCCTTCACTATACAACTTGCAGACATCTTGAAGATAAAAGATAACATGAATATGGATATGGCAGGGGTTATTGTCAGCTGATTCATAACTTCTTGGAGCTTAAAGTTTCTGAAATTATATTCTCCAAAAAGAAAAGGTTTTCTCAACACATTATAATTATTTGAAAATAGATAAGAAACTAATTAGTTATTAATGACTTTAGTAAATAAATCAAGATCCCCAAAAGCACACCACATTTTCAACACTTACCCTCTTGCGCTGGGCTCCCAATAAGGTGCATATAACCCCGAAAATGCTGGGACGAAGTAGCAGCCATAAGAAGTACCTACTTCTTTAGCAAGCTTTTCTATCATTAAAAACAAAGCAAAACAGCAACAAAAAAAAAATCATACAAATATTGTGTATTATTAAATAAGCACACCTATTTTAAAAGTTAGAAAAATTAGGACAGGGGTATTGGTTTCCAATTCATTGGTAGAGCAAAATGTTGCTAACTACAGTAGTATGCTAGGATCAACAAAAACGAGTTTCTCCCACATTAAATACCCCCCACTAAAATGTAGCTTAGCTCAAGAAATCAAGGAACCAGATGCGTTTCTTTAAGGTATTTTAGCTCATTTCCACTATTTTTAAGGTTGCTGACTAGGAGATGAAAAAGTGGCCTCTAGTGTGTCCCTAATCAGAAATGTATTTCTGATTGTCTCACCTTCAGGCAAAGTTAAACAAGCGGATGAAAGAGTGACTAGGGAAGCTCAAACTAATTATCTATAGACTGAAAACAGCCATATTAATACTTAAATTATAGGTACCAGAGTTTTAATGCTCACTCTAATCTAAGAGTTAAAGCTCTTTCTCATCAGATAAATTTAACTCAACTTCTCTATCTGCAGCTTCTGGCAATCTCCAGTGTTCAATTTTACACTTGGATAATTTTTATGCCCTACATTGCCAGTTTATTAATAACCACCACTAATTATGACAATTCCTTGTTTTATAAGTCTTCACAAAATAGTCTTTTGTATAAGTCAAACTCATACTAGGGATCTATATAATTTATGGATCACATTTGGGGCAAAGCATAAGTATTCACAGATTGCAGAGATAAATACTGAAATGTGTCATTTTTCAGATTTTCTGACCTTTTGTTAGAACACACTCACCAATTTCTTCTGAGGTCTTTATAATTCCAAGATTGTCTCTTAGCCAGCGAATAACAGCACCAGCTATAGCTACAGAACCCTAAAGAAAAAAAGGAATCCAAGACAGAACATATTTTATCACGATCAAAGGTTTTAATTGAGCATATTCTGTGTATGACACAACCAGATGGACAGAATTCAGTTTCCATTTTGGGACTCTGACAAATACGATAAACTAGGTCTTCTAATACAAACATAGTTTTGTCTAAGTCACTAATAAAAGTTTTTCATGGGATGGGGAAAAGAAGTGAGCCTTCCAGCACACCCTTGGATTTGTCCCTATAGGTGGACATCGATCTGTTGGTCAGTTTGCTTCTTGAACAATTTTCTGTCTGTTGCTAAGCTACTGAGGTATGTTATCACTTAGAAATATATTGCCATATTATTCATAAAATTACTGGGAGAGGCCACATGAAAAGTTTCTTCAAGTCTGTTTCCCATATCTAACAGAATAGTAAATAAAAAAAATAAAATAAAATAAAAAAGCAAAGAAGCTAGCTAGTGAGTAATTTTTCTTTAAAACAAAATCACCTACAGCTGTGGCAATAATGATAAAAACATATTTTAGAGTTGGATAAACTGGCTTTGAGTCCCAGTTCTAGTACCTAATTGCTGTGTAATCTTAGTAACTAAAGTACTTTAGTAAGTTAATCTTAGTAAATTAAGTAACTTGCCTACGTTACTTAGGCTTTCTGAGCCTCCATTTCTTCACCTATAAAATGATGACTATGACAACACTTACCTAAACAAACTACTGTGAGGCTCAATATGAGAATATATGTGAAGGTTCTTACTAAATGTAAATATTGACTTCATTAATTTTTTTAATGTTAAAGTATCAGCCAAACACCAGTGACTGATGAATAGATAAAACACAGTATGTCTATACAATGGAGTATTATCGGACTATGAAAGGAATGATGTCTTAATACATGCTACAACATGGATGAGCATTGAAAACATTATGCAAAGTGAAAGAAGCCAGGCACAGAAGACCATATATTGTATGATCCCATTCATATAAAATGTCCAGAACAGACAAATCCATAGAAAAAGAAAGTAGTGGTTGCCTGGGCTAGGGGATAGGGGGTGGTTATGGGGTTTCTTTCTGGGGTGGTGACAATGTTCTAAAGTTAGATAGTGGTGACGGTTGTAAAACTCTGTAAATATAGTATTACTATAAACCATTGAACTGTATACTTTAAAAGGGTAAATTGTGTGGAATATGAATTATATCTCAATAAAGCTATTATAAAAAAATCCTGACGGCAAAAAAAAAAAGTATCAGCACAAACCACTAGGAATTCCAAGAAAATTTTTTTAGTTCTGATAGTTCATTCATATAGATTATTAATGTATATTACTTCCACAGAGTCACTCCAAACCAAATGTCAGGTGATATTAAACGTAGGGACCTGTCCCTATTTCTATTAACTGAATTACAAATGGTAATGCCTTCTTATTGTCAGTTGTTAAGATGCAAGTAAACTAGAGAATGAATATGCTGGCATATTCCATCATTCATAGCTTCTATGAGAAGTTACTATGTTACTGCAAACCTACAGAATGCCTGTATTCTGTTTATACGTTTACACATTTTTATATATGTAGACATACATACAGTACTCTGTATTACTACATACATAAAATGGCTTTTTAACCACAAAAAGTATTTGAGGAACAGATCTGACATAGCTGTGCAAATATGACAAGGCTTTAAAAATGGGACAAAAACAATTCAACAAATACCTTACAAGGGACTCTAACACAGCTTATTCCCTGCCTAAAAGAACTTGTTGTACTTATTAAGTTTGACACATTTACATATTTAGGTACTTAGAGGGATCATTCAAGAGAACTAAGTAAAATTTTGGTTTAAAGAGATTTAAGAACTTTACTCTCAAATTTCCTTTGGAAACAGACAATTCAGAGATAGCAGCTGCCAAATATTAGTAAATATGTAAGAGTTTCTAGACCAGTGCTGTCCAATAGAAATATAAAATGAGTCACATATGTAATTTACATTTTTGCCACATTAAAAAGGTAAAAGTAAGGTAAAATTAATATTTTATTTAACCCAGTGTGTTAAAAAAAAATTTCAACATGAAATCAATATTAAATTATTGAGATTTTTTTTTGTACTATCTTTGAAGTCTGGTATATACTTTACACTTAACAACACATCTCAGTTAAGACTAGCCACATTTCCAGTGCTCAATAGCTGCATGTGGCCATGGCTGCCATGGGCAGTATAATTCTAGACCTAATTGAAAAACAAAAACAAAAACAGGTGTCCCTCCTCCTTATACTCTCAAAGACACTGCCCTTAAATGGCATCTAACAAGAAATGCATACATAATTGTTTTAGGCAAGTAGAGTTAAACTATGAATTTTTAGAAGCCACTGTGCTAGGAGTCTAGTAAAGTGATTTTGTGGCACAGCTGGTGGGACTTTATACTCTAGGAAACCACATGCTGATATACCTCATTTCCATTGAAAAAGATAGGATGTGTCATGCTTACACCATATTTTTAAGAGGAAGCAATATGATTTTAGCAAAAGGAAAATCAAGGTTTTGATTAGAGGTAACTAGTTGAGAATCAGAGTATCATTTAGATTAAAACAAAAGAAAAAAAATACATAGTTACTGTTAAGGCTCCAGGAGATAATTGTTTTAAATTCTGTCATCAGGAATATACAGAAGTGACTAGTTTCAATATAACACAATAAAAGGTAGATAAAAACACTTATCTGAAAAAAGTAAATAATTTTGCTGTCAGGATATAATACATGGTATGATTTAGCTTTTAAAGAAATAAAAATGAGAGACACCTCTAAATTCACAAAAGACATGTGGTCTTCTGAATTCAGAGGCAGGAAATAAAATGGAAGATGGTTGGCCGGGAGCGGTGGCTCAAGCCTGTAATCTCAGCACTTTGGGAGACCGAGACGGGCAGATCACGAGGTCAGGAGATCGAGACCATCCTGGTTTCATCCTGAAACCCCGTCTCTACTAAAAAATACAAAAAACTAGCTGGGCAAGGTGGCGGGCACCTGTAGTCCCAGCTACTCGGGAGGCTGAGGCAGGAGAATGGCCTCAACCCGGGAGGCGGAGCTTGCAGTGAGCTGAGATCCAGCCACTGTACTCCAGCCAGGACGACAGAGCTAGACTCCATCTCAAAAAAAAAAAAAAAAAAAAAGGAAGATAGTATAATGCTTCAAAGTTGGACAGGAAAAGAGTATAGCAGCCAAAACCTAAAGTGATAAATAGAAGGTGACTGTCTATTTGTTATCAATTAAGTTGCCATAAGTTACATCCTAAGTATAAAGATCCAACACTTTAGTATATCATCTACAAATTTGAATCAGCCCTTGTTCTAGGTTATGACTCCCTGGAAAAGATGCATGCAAGCCTAACAGTTGTATACTAAGGGAGATGCAATGAAAGTGAGAGGGTGTAAAGAATAATGAATTAAATTATAACAGGGCAAGAGGAATAAATTATTTTAAAACTAGATACGTAGCCTGGAAAGTGAAAGGCTAAGAAATAAGCTATACGAAGATTGAATTAAAAATAATCAAGTAGATCTGATGTAATGTCATAGCAGGCAAACACATTTTTCTTCGAAAGCTCCTTGACATGAATGCCACTGCCACTAACAGTATAAAAATAAAGCAGGATATTTCAGGATGCAGTAGAATTGTAGCTTACAAGGCAATTAGGGTGAAAATTGGTGAGTATGAAGAAAAATCACGTAAAGTAAAGATTACCCTAAATTGCTTACAATCATCCATCAGGCATAGCAAACACAGTTTTGTGTATACTACAGTGCCATGTATCTGTACATATATAATTTATAATGTAGTTAATTTGTATATATTATATTACAAATGCAGTGTCTAACTCTATAGCATTTTTAATTGCATAGAGAAAAGGAAGAGTTGAATTGGAGCAACATTATTTTTGAAATGTGACAGATTTCATTAATACTTCAGTAACAAGTTGGGGAACTACAATTAAAAGCATTTATTGCTCAGAAAGTATACTTTTCAAGAAAGAACATTGTAAAAGTTCATAAACAATGTTTATATGCTTGTGGCAGATAGACTTTTACTTAAGGTGGCTCCCATGATCCCTGCCTCTTGATGTTCATACCCTTGCATAATCACCGCCTCTTGAGTGTGGTGATATCTGTGACTTTCTTCTACCCAACAGTACATGTCAAAAGTGATGGGATATGTGTGGTGATGTGTATGTGCTTCCATTACATGATTTACTGTGCCTGTCTTGCTGGATATATTCCCTCCCATCCTGACTTTAAGGAAGCAGACAACTACAAGGAACTGAATTTTGCCAATAACCTGAATGAACCTGGAAGCAGATTAAACCTCAGATGACAGAAGAGCCTCAGTCAACACCTTGACTGCAGCCCTGTGAGACTCCGAGCAGGGTACCGAGCTAAGCTATGCCTGGATTCTGAACCCATGGGAACTGAGAAACAACACATGTGTTGTTTTAAGCCACTTAAGTTTGTGGTAATCTTGTTACACAGCAATAGATAATCTACTACATAGGTTTATACCTAAAATCGGGATTTAGCCCAAGAAGGATGAAAAACTCTAAAAAGGAAATCTTAATGCTATAATCGTTAAACCATACCAAAGAAAAAATAGGGGAAGAGACATTTAAAGAAACCAATAAGGCGATATAGGGAACCCTCTTTGAAGTTCATATTTAAAAAGAAAAAAAATGGCCTAACATAGGATTCTGTATTTAAACAATATTTAATGGGTACGTATTATCTGCCAGCCTGCTGGGACAGAGTGGTAAACAAGATAGACAAGTACCCTAGCCTCGGGAAATCTATATTCTAGCGACAAAACACAGAACATGGAAGTCTCAAGTCATAAGCGCAAGTTCATAATCACATTAAAAGTTCCCAAAAGGATTTTTGTGTTGTGAAACAGTATTTGGAAAAAGAAGGGGAACAAGGATGCCAGAGGGAAGGCAGAACCATTCAGTGGCTCTATTTTGCTTCA